AGAATGTAATGTTGGTTGCTTCAAAAATTTAAATTATTAATAAAATGAACTTACTATAGATTACGCCACCCCGAATAGAAATGAAAATGATAACCCAAATATACTTGATCATATTTGAACGTGTAAAATATGGATAAACATTAATATGCAACTATTAACATTAGCAACAATTATGTTGCATGTATAATTCATTGATGATACTTGTGATTAGAGTTAACCTTCAATATATCACAAGTTAGTCTGAAACTTCCTCAGACATCTATTTTTAATTCAGATGTCATTATACATACTTAAGAGCACTCTAATCTGAAAATAAAAAGACAAAAAATTTAATCGTGGTGGTTGAAAACTGTATTAGAAACAAAAAATCGCAAAGACATTACTAGGTTTTCACATGATCTTCCCAATTGTGCTTTTACAACAAAGCAAATCTTTCTGTCGTTTAACATAGTTATACTATAACAACTGTGTTAAAAATGATAGAAAAAAACTTTCCTAATAAATTTTCTCTTGCTTTCAAATCATTCGTATTTTAATAGCGAATGTCAGGCATAAGTATTTACGTACTTACTTACGCACAATTATTGAAACAGCGAATCAAAATAGTTGTTTACAACACAACAATTACTGCTACTACTGATTCCATAAAAATCAACTTATAATTAAGTTAATAGATAAAACACCTAATTTAAAAAATTAAATACAAGAAAAATGCTTTGCATTTGTCTACAAAACAATAATGGGTATAGCGGAACGGTATTTTAACACAATACACAATAATAAAAACTATGATTTATTAAACATTACATTGTTTAATGCGATGATTGTTACGTATTTACTAAAATTTAATGTCTCATTATGATCAATTAAAAATGTTTTGGAATAAAATCAATAGGAAATATTTCATTATCCCAAACGCACAGGTTATCTAACTCAGAAGCGCGAATTTCAAAATTAGATAGAGCCCAAGGGTATAATGACATTTTTGGCCTTGACAACTGTAAATAACATATATACACATTTTTGGCTGTAGATGAACTAACCTCACCTTTGAAGTCTTGTCAAGCATGGTTGTCATTTTGACATTGATAATCAGAGATTGTCAAAGCTGCAGAAATTTATCTACATGACAACCCCTCTAGAGAAAGGGAAATTATTCGAACTTTATTAAAGTATGTAACTGACGGCATATTGACGACAGTTTGATGCCTGACAATGGTAACGGTATTATGACAATAAAAAAATCTGCATGTCAATCGTATTGACAAAATGCATAGTTTTTGGTACTTTAAAAAAATTAATCTAATTTTTTTGGTGGACCAAATTTATTGGTATAATATAAATAACTATTTATTCTCAATGATATTTTGTTTAAATAGTTAAATATCCGTTTTTTTTTTAAGAAAGTTGATGCACTGACATACGTAGTTTTTATGTAAATAAATTGCTTTTTTGACATTTGATGGGTTCGTAACGATAACAATTCTACATAAAAATCCCAACCAAGGAATGAAATGACGTATCTACAATTTCCCGACGTCTAAAATGTTAGAAATTCATATATTACGATAGTGATGTAAACAAAAATAATTACAAATTCAAAAAGTTGGCATTTGGAGAAATTACAAGAAATTTAAGAGGTATCAAATAAAATTTAATAAAATTTTCAGTCATTGCTCGAATAGGAGTTTTTACACATTTTTTTTATATTATATTATATTGATACTTGATGGTTTAATAAAACAATCCTAAACAAAGAGTAATTCAATTATGAAGTTTTAACTGCTCCAGTAATTAAGGAACAAATAAAGTAATTATTAAATAAGTAAAGGTTCAAATTAAAATCTGTCAGTATCAATAGATTTCTTACGAAAATTTAGTGTGTCACTTGCATTAGACATTTCAATTGAAACTGATCTCTTATTTCGCTACAAGTTTTCTAGTTATATTATTTTTGGAATATCAGTTCGAATTTTAATAATAAAAATTCAATTCAATTACCTACAAGTATAGCTATTTCTAAAGTCGCGGTCAATTCATAGTGACCACTTCCCTGTGTAAATTTGTAAAAATTGAGTTGTGTAAATCTGACTTTCAACATCCAATTGTTTTTTAAGGACATATCTATCAAAAATGACAATTCTGAATATGTCGGGTTTGAATACTTCACAAAAATCTACTGCACCTGTCACAATTGTTGACACAATTTCTGCTACCAACATAATCACAACCCACACACTATAGGTGGCGAGCTAGGGGCTGCCAACTTTGCAATAAATTAAATGGCCACTATGAATTGACAGCGACTTTATTATTCGTTTTATTAATACAAGACATACAGTACGATCAAAAAATCCTTCTATCAAGTAGGCGTACATACTTGTTAAAAATGTACATATGTTAACTAGATGTCAAAAATTAGTTTATAAAAATTAAAACATTGCAAATTAAAACAAGCAAGTTGAATCATTATTCTAAGAAACCTTTCAAAACATACCAATGTGAGATGTTGTTGTTTTGATTTACAATAAAATGATGATATTTAATGATAAAGATGATGATTGATGCTTTTATAAAAAGCGAAACCGGTTAAGCCCATAAATAATGTTGTTGCTTTCGAAAATTTCCCCTACCTTTATAAGATAATTTTACCAAACATTTTTGGTCAAACCATCGTGAACTAATTGAATTAAAATTTTAATTTAATTTTAAAGAGTTAATTAATTTTAAATAAAAAAATACAGGGTGTCAGAACTCGCCCCTACAATAAAATTTCAAGTACGATACCAGGAACAAAAAAAATGTTTAAAAAACTCTATCTGTCAAAAGATTTTAATATTTATTTTTTGACATTTGACATTTTTTTGTCTATTTAATGATACTGATGGTCTTGTTTATGTTTTTTTTTTTATAATTATTTAGTAAAAGCCACAAATAACATTACACAGAGTTACAGTTTAGGATACAGCTTCCTTCTTTCCTCTTCTAAGAGCTTGTAGCAAAAAAACATAAACAAATATTTTTCCAACAGAAATAGAGTCAAAGTGCAAAATTTAAACTCTCATAACTTCGAAATTTATATAGATAAATTTTTTTATAGATTTTTCCATATTCCTAGTATCGTACCTTACATGACATTTTTCTCTGGGGCGCGAGTTCTGGCGCACCTGTATACAGGGTGTTTCACACAACTTTACGAGGCTTGCGCCTAATGTATGTAAAAGTCACAAAACACTGGACACAAAAAATACTCATCTAATTATATAATTTTTGGAAATCCATGACAGTAGTTGTCAAACTAATCACTGTTTCATTAATAGTCATAAACTAGTTTTCGAGAAACAATTATCATTTGTTTTATCAAGAAATGGCATGAATATGATTCTAGTTTATCTATCTTAATCACTAACCAACAAAAAACGTTGTCATTTTTAAAAGGGTGAACAAACTAGAGAAAATTATCCAATTTTTCGAAATTTGTAATCGAGTTCGTATCGGAATATGTATTATTGATTGCATCTTCAGGCGTAGGCCTCGTAAAATTATGTGAAACACCCTGTATTCTATAAAACCTCTCAAAATATCCTACAATGAGAGGCTACTGTTTATTCATACAAATCGTGTACCACAGTTTCCTGTCATAATTTACATACAAATTATTTTGACATTTCTCATTTGTTTTTAGGACACACGTTCTAAATTTCTACGCTTACTTGATAGGAAGAGTTTTTGATCTCTATAAAATTGAACATTTCAAATCCCCACTTACGGAGCCAACTAAATACATATCTGCATTTTCATAACATTTTCCGATTTTTTTAAAGTCATTACTTTTCAAAAAATATTGTTAAAGCTTATTACACATTCATATGTTATAAATAGAATGTCATGGCCAACCATGCTTCCAGAACTCGCATCCCAGAGAAAAATGCCATCTATAAAAATTTAGAAGTTATGAGAGTTTAAATTTTGCACTTTGACTCTATTTATTTCTGTTGGAAAAATAATTTTCCAATTTTTTTTTGCTACAGATTATTACAAGAAAGCTCTATCCTAAATTGTAACTCTTTAATGGTATTTGTGGCTTTTATTAGACTTTTTTTTACTTTTACTAAATAATTATAAAAAAACATATACAATATCATCAGTGTCATTAAATGGACATAAAAAATTTCAAATGCGTAAAAATAAATGTCAAAATATTTTGACAGATCGAATTTTTTAAACATTTGATATCTGGTACCTGGTATCTTATCTTGCTTGAAATTTTCTCTGGGACACAAGTTCTGACACACCCTGTATGCATTGCGAAATGGTATAAAAGCACATTTTTAAATTTAATAAAACCAGAATTTAAAAAGAATGTTGCGATTCACAACGAAATTCTTTTGTTACCACTGCACTCAAATCAAATTTAATAAGAAAATACAGTTTCAGGTTATTAAAACAGAGGAGTTTACATTTCATAGAGTATGTATAAACAAATGAATAACTGGAGCAGTCAACACAACCTAAACACCAAAATAAAAAATACTACACTCTACATCCGAAAGAGGTGTACAAATTACAATGTGATTCGACAATAATAACAATAACAACAATAATAGTAATACGTGATCATTTGAACAAATGGTGGAAAAATGTGAAAATTAGTCAATTGTAACATAAACAAACAAAAACTAAAAAACAACCCAAATTGTGAGTAGAATGAATTGTAGCCCCAGCGCCCTTTCGCCCTCCACGTGACTCATCGAAAACAACAACTAATCGCGTATTCGAGGTCATCCGAATAAACAGCCCCCTTAATCGATGATCTATCGATCGTCGATCGCCCCACACCCCTCGTCTTCGGGCCGCAAGGCAGCCAACCTCGCCCGTAAGACGGCGGGCGGGCGACAGGTGAAACTCGTCGTCGGCGTTTCCTCTCGCCATTTTGTCGTCGGTGCGACACCTGCGGGCGTAGCGCTGGGGCTGGGGGCCGGCGCCGTCGCGGTGCTCACCTGTGTACTCGTCGAACGGCTCCGTCGAGGCGATGGGTGTCAGCAGGAGGGCACAGATCGCGAACCAAAACATTTCGACGACGAGGCGACAATCAACGAACGTCTTCTGATGGAGTTCTACGCGCACGGGGGGCACACACCACAACTCGCTTTTTTATGATAAACACACGATTTTCATAGCGACTCACTAAATTGTGTCGTCATGGACGGCTAGGTTTTCATTGACTGTCTCCCTTCCCTTCGTGAAATGGTGGATTGGTGTGAGGGCGCTACAAACACTGGCGCCACTTTTGAACAAAAATTATATCTAAATAAACTGCTCCACAAAAGTTAAGAAAGTCACATTATTTATACAACAAACAGATTTTATTCCTCTAAGCATTGTGGAATCCAACAAAAACAAAAGAGTAAAAAGATATCTGCTTTCATCTCACTTTTAATTGTTTTTTTTTTAAATAATTTATTAATTTAATTAATTATTGTAATTATTGCACACTTCCTTAACTTTTGTGGAGCAGTATATTTAAATACGTCCTAATAAATACACAAAGAACAAAATAACATTTAAAAAAACCTTTAAGTAGTTTCAAATAAGTAGACGTCAAAACATTAAAAAAATGCAGTTTGTAGAATATGCCTCCACTGTTTTTCGTATTTTTTGTGTTAAAATTTTCGTGAAGACAATGGGTAATACAGTTGCAGACAAAATACTTTGTTCGTCAATGTCACTTGAGTGACATTATTAAATTGTAAAGCATGCTTTAGGACTGTTAACCTTATTTTTAGTTACTGTCAATCATAGTTGACAAGTTGTATGTACCCACCCGGGGAAAAACTATTCACCAGTCTAACTTTCTGCTCACACTGCGCTTTATTGTAATAGTGTTTCCGACTAACTAGCTGGGGAGCAGGTAATATGTCGAAAGACCCTTATTTAGGAAGTTGAAACGGTCTTTTTCTGAAAATTTCTTTAATGAGTATAATGACACTCAGAAAATTTTAGAGAAAAAATACATGCCCATGCATTTCATTACCTTAACCAAATTTTTGTGATTTACTTTTAATTTTATTAACAAATAGCTAGTCTCTCCCGTTTTTTATATTTATTTTTATTACTTCTAAACAAAGCAAAAAACCCAAAGTGGTAGATTACTGTTGGATTGTTATAAAAAAAACTGATTCAAAAAAGTGTAATAAAAAAAGTAAAATAACTCATTTTTAATTTGTTCTTTGGCTGTTTTTGTATTTTTGTTAATTACATATTTCTTAAACTGGACTTTTTTAAATATTTTTTTTTGAACTCAGTGCCTCAAAATCTATAAGAAATTATAACTTTCAGCTAAGGTATAAAAATTGTGCAAACTAGTGTAATTTTCTCTCTGCGTTTTAAATACCATCACATTGGCGTTTTATTTTTTTTCACAACGATATCGCTTTGACAGACGAGTTAACGCAAGTTAAATAACAAAAATGTTTGTAAAAAATATAATTTTAATAAACGGCAAGTCAAAAAAACAGCTTCCAACAAAAACAAACATTATTCAATTAATTAATTAATTGTCAAAGTGACATCGTTGTCGAAAAAATAAAATCGCCAATGTGATGGGACTTGAAAAGCAAAGAAACATTATTATTGCAAGTCCAAAAGTAAGAAAAAAATTAACTCAAAAGAGTTTATAAAGAAATGGTTTAACGTCTGCTATGGAAAAAAAGTATTTCCTTTGCTTTTTGGGCGTAAAATCAAATATAAAAATTGTTTCCTTTTGACTGGCTATTATAAAATTATTATTATTATTATTAAGTTCAGAATTTTGATTATAAAGAAATAACTTGATAGAAATTGGCAAAATTACAGTTTATTAAAAAATTCTGGCATTTAAAACCAGTTCTACAATCTTGATTTTTGAAAGCTGTAGATAAGAACCTTAAAAGTCAAGTCAAGCTAAAAATATTTTTCCTTTGCAGTTTTAGCGTAAAATCAAAGGTAATTTTTTTTTCCTCGCGTAAACTTAATCCGGAAACATACTGTATACATACTTGCAAAATACATTTCTTAAATAAATTTATGTATTTGTAATTTGATAATTTGAGCAAGTTTGTTACGCTATTGGACAAAGCGCAGCCCAATTACAAAATTAGACTGGTGAATAGTTTTTTCCCCGGGTGTACATATTGTTGATAGGAAAATATAATAGCTGTCATTAATCTGAAATTGTCATTCATTTTAACGTTAAAGCTTGAATTACATTAAAAAGTGAGAAAAATGACGACCAACGTATTTTGTCTCCAACTGTATGAATAAAATGTATCAAAAGCTTTTGCTATAGATTTGTCTCTTTCTTTCTTATAAAATCTAAATTAGGTCTCTCTTTTACTATTACAAGTAGAAGCATTTACTTAAGTTTATTCATACGGCCCAATAATTGACGCATCTGTAATACCTGCAACTAAATTTTAAAAAATGTCTACAGCAAATATCGTCCACAGTCAGTCAAAATTTCACATGTAATACCGGGTGACTGTAAATGATTGTGATTTTTTACCTCAAGGTGTCAAATTTAAAATTTTAGTTTCACAACCTTGACTTTCAATCCAAACGTCAAACTTTAATACACTGGCGGACACGGAATTTTGGACATCAAATTTATGACAGTTCAAAAAATGTCCATGTAATAAGCCACGCTTTATTGTCATTATGATTGACGTTTGAAACTAGAATTTGAAAGTTTCAGTTGAAATTTATTTTTGGCGCCGATTTTCCGGAACAATAGTGCCAGCAATACGTGTTTTTATATAAGATCAATAAATTATTTTGATTTGTTGTCATTTTTTCTTTCGCTCTCAGAATAAAAATTACAAAAACCGTAAGTGAGGTTAGTTGTCTAAGGCCCGTTTTATATTTTTATGTCAGCCGAATGACAAATCATCCAAAATTCTGTGTCCGCTAGTGTAGGCAATTGATATCACAATTCTCATTCATTTGCGACGGGCAACTAATGATTTAGCCGTCACCTGAAACATTCTGATATAACAAATTAAGATTACCAATAGTTCATTATTACCAATAGATTTTTTTTTCTATCGCAAACAATAATAGTCACCCGGTATTTATTACGCACTAAAAACTCAAAAATGTTTAATTAATAAAAATTATTTTTTTAAACGGAAATGTCAAATGGTGTAAACGTTGTCACCACTAGCAAATTCATTCATGGTAATTTTAATAAAAAAAGTTGGCAGTTCCATTTTTTAGTCAATTTTAAAACAATAAAATGCGCGGAATCAAAACATGTCTTTGACCTTTTATACCGGCTGTCCCAAGCAGATTTGAATATAGGAAATTGACATGGGAAATTAGTTTTTATTTTTTTTGTGGTGATCGTATAAAAAATACCTATAGTATGTTACACGTGTATAAACTTCTCTGGACATTTGTTTTATTAAACACTCGCTCCGCTGCGCTTTGCTCGTGCTTCATAAAACTTATGTCTAGAATGGCGTTTATAGCACTAGTTACATAATATACTATTTATAATACGCCTCCATTTTAATTCTGTAATAGACATATTAAAGAACGTGATGTCATAGTGTGCAATGTCTTAAAAGGCGATCAAAATCGCTTAAAGTTTTTTTTTTAAACCGCATAAAAAACCAAATTACAAAAAATAGCATAATAAACTCGTTTCATAAGATATTAAAGCACTCATTTTTTAAATTTGGATTTGTTCTTTAAGGATGGTTTTATGAAACTTGTTTTTTAATATGTTACGTATATTATAACTTGAGATTTTAAGTTTTTAAGCGAATCGATTTTCACTTGTTAATGTTTTAATTTATTTTAAGTTTCAAATGCTTTTTGTTTTATTAGAGTAGGGTAAAAACTTAAATTACACACCTGAACGTGAGTGCGTAAATGACCAAAATGCATCTCGGACGAGGAGGAAATTTTTTGGAAGCAGTTGCGTGTAGATTCCCTTTATTATCATAATATTTAAGAAAGGACTAAAATAAAGGACCTTAAGTAAAGTCGCGGTCAATTCATAGTGGCTACTTTCCTGTGTACCTAAATTTGTAAAAATTAAGTTGTGTAAATCCAATTTTAAACATCTAATTGTTTTGTTCTATTAAAAATGAAAATTCTGAAAAAGTCAGGTTAGAATACTTGCATGTAGTGTTGGAGCTATCTATTCGATTAAATAAAACTATTTTGTTGTTGTTTGTTACGCCACTGGTACATACGCGTCCCCTCTTACGTTTGCGCGTAATTAGATTCCGCTTAGGTGTGTACTTTTAGCTTTTACCCCATTCTACGTCATTGTTTGTTGAAAATGCCCACGGTGTAAAATGCCTATTACCTATGCAACCAACAATACACGTTCAGGATTTTACATTTGCAAACGCTAAAAAATATTTAAATCTTCTTTTAATAAAAACATCGAAATTGTTTTTAGTTTTGCTTTTCAAATATTTATAGCAGATCCAAATTTTTGAAGTTTAAAAGAGCATTTAATAATCTGTCAAAAAAGTTAGGTTAGCCGAAAAATCATTAGAAATCGTAATAAACAAGAACTCCCACATGTCTGTTTTTAATATTTTTCTTGTAACAACTATTCTTGGAGTAGAATATGTAAGTCTGAAAATTTTAAATATTTTATCCACAAATAAAATTTTAGGCACATTCTTCGTATTATTGCGATTTTGGTCTTTGTGAGGCGGACCAATATTGTTGTGGAGACAACAAATGTTGTACCAATGTAACAGACTTGTGGTACTTTTGGTAACATTCAAGTGTTATAATAAGACAAGTATAACAAATATTGATTTTTAGGATTGGTATTGTTATAGCAGTTATAATTATAATTGTTATAGTCCTATTCAAGTTCTTTAGAAGGAAAACGAAATATAAATACGATAGTCTACCCCTTGTTCGTTAATGTAATAATACTAATTTATTATTTATTAAATAATTTTATTTTTATTGAACATTTATTTCTCTACTACAAAATTCTAACATTATTGTAACATCTACCACAGTAAACTGAAACAAAGAAAATAATACATTTTGAATAAAAATGAGACAACTTACTTAGCCAACGAAATTTCAGGCATTCCTGGATCAGCACCTTTTCGAAATCCTATAAACAAACCCTAATAGTAATTATTAGTAACAAAAATTAATATTTTACCCAAATAAAGTACAGTGGGGATAAAACTGTAATGGAAAACAGTCTTTGTTAACTCAATCACGAGCGACAATCGCTGTTTAGCACCATCAGAAAGGACCATTTTCGTTATTTTGTTGTTTGGGTTTTTATGCAAATCGGTACTTGAAAACTTGAAATAATTTAATAATCACTTATTTTGGTTTAAAAAGCTACTTACTCTAGAGCACTGTGCTATGCTGAAATTAGATATTGAATATGAGGTTATGTCTCAGTTAACAAAATAATTGTCAAAAAACTGTATTATTGGTTGCCTAAAACACTCAAAGTAAATTGTTATTTAGAGTTCATAGAAACCCAAGAATGGTAGACATAGAGGATTGCTCAGGCCCTATGCTGCAATGTTAGCAGTGTTTCATCATCCCCACCACATTGCGTGACGTCACAACTGGCCAACATTGTTTGTTTACATCAGCTGTGCTTCGTGTTTTTTGGTGTTTTAATGATATTAGAGCATATTAAGATCCTACAAAAGAAAATTGTAGTATGAAATAATGCAAATTTTAGTATATTTAAAGTAATTCCAATAATTTTAAATAGGTAGTGCATACATCTTCACTATATGCCTGGTAGATGGTATGCTGTATATGGTTGTAACAGCAGCCAAATAAAACCAAAACAAATGGGTGACAATCTCATTTTTTATTCTTATTCTATCGGTAACAATATGGTCTCATCAACGATGAGAAAGGAATGGGTCAACAGGTGCAGACGAGCGGATAAGTTCAACTCGATTCATAGCTCAATTTGCTCCATTTCACAAACAATGATTATCAACGTGATCTAAGGAACAAATTGTTATAATGCATTCATTTTTAGTTTAGACTAGAGTAAGCTATTTTATTGTCATACAGCTACAGTCGCCAAATTTCCATAGCCTATTCTCATCTAAAACAGAAATGAATGTATTATAAGTAGATACATATTTTATAAACTTGCATCGCTAACATTACACCAGATACAATGTGTTTCAGTATAATTTCCCAAGCATATTTTTGATCTTGTAACCCACAGAAATTCTGTACTGTTTGTATTAAAATTATAAACGTGGGGTGTTATAAAATTCTTAATTGATTTTTATTTATGTGATCTCTTTATTTTTCAATAATTTTAGAATTACAAAATTATTTTATTACTATTGTATTATTTTTATAATCTCTAAGTCATGTGGACAAATAGAGAAAGCAAATATTATTAATTTAATCTTTGTTTAATTTTTGGGATATCATTTAACTGAATTTTGATTGTACCTACGCTGGTTTCAAACTTCAAGTTTAGTGCTGCTACCAAATGTTTTTATTTGAAGAAATAAAATTTATATTGTGTTGAAAATCGTTTTGCTCATTTCTTTCTTCTTTAAAGTCTTAAAGTTATTATAAAAATGGTTTATTTTGTTTTAGATTTTTTTACCTATTATCCATTATTAAATTTTGTATTATTATTTATCAACAAAATTTATTGCATATAAAATTGTCAAAAATAAAACCCGTTTCTATTTTGTATGTATACCTAGGAATATTATTGATATTTTCACGAGTTTGTGACCTAAAAATTTCAATGACAATTTATTTATTACCTAAATCATTTTTGTTTGAGCATTTTAAAACGTAAAGAATACTCGTCAATATAAAAAGTAAAAAAATTGTTCCTATTCTTAATGTCTTATATATCATTAAAATGGAGAACAATAAATTATTGGAATTATTGCGTCTGCTTACCCCGAGTAGAAAACAGATTTACTCAATTTTTGGACACAAATAAACAGAAAATTCTATTTTGTATTACCTCAAATTATAACTACAATAATTTCATCATAAATTCAAAAGCGATTTTAACAAATTAATGTCATAATTGACTTTTATTTGCATTATTTGGTATTTGCTCCTATTAACTCCCATGTATTTGACGCGATTAAAGACCAGTTGTGACGTCACAGCATGTCTATGGACCACGTGACGCCGGCTGACAGATTCGTGAGCCTGAGCAATCCTTTACGTCTACCATCCTTGATAGAAACCAAGAAGGATATCGATGGAAGGGATGCGCAGAGACGAAAACTCGTCGCGGACGAATTCATTCGTAAATATAGGGGAGTTCTGAAATCAGCTGAGAGCAGTGGCGTGTATTCGCACTTATTTATTTGAAGAAAACAAATAATCCATACCAACTTCTTCATCTGCTTCAACCAGTTCCATAACAAAACTGCTTATTAAACTGAAATATCATCTACCGACTCTTAGAAGAATTCCAAAAGCCTCCAGACATTTAGCCGCAGATAAATTAAGCTCCATCATTAATAATTGCCTTTCGACCAGAAATTTTACTTCTTTCGAGGATCTTCTACTATTCTCTTATAAAGCTTTTAATATTATCGATAAATCTGACAAATCTTTAAATAATCATATCAAAGAAAATCTCTCCAATTTTGAAGATTTTACTATACCAGCATCTTCTTTTAAACGCTCAACTTTATTATTGGCTAAGAAAGTTGAAGCTAAAGTAGCGGATTTCGACATAAGAGGAGCTGTTAAATTGTTATCATCGGATAACTCACTAGCTTCTTTTGATGAAGATGTCGCTGAAGAACTTAAGAAAAAACACCCTTCTCCATCGCGTGAACTCTTTTTCCCAGACGCTTTCCAGCAAGTTGACAAGTCTTTAATAGTAAATGAACAGAATGTCCGAGAAGCCATCAATTCTTTTCCTGCCGGTTCTTCGCCTGGTTTAGATGGCATGAGACCACAATACTTGAAAGACATTATATCCTTATCAGCAGGAGAAGCTGGTAATCGCGCCCTTAAAGCTATAACTAAATTTTGCAATTTTTTATTATCTGGCCAACTACCTCCCGACTTTTGTCATTTATTTTATGGTGCTTCTTTATGTGTTCTTCATAAGAAAGATAGAGGCATAAGACCGATTGCCATTGGAAATTGTTTTTGGATATTGACGTCCAAACTTGCTTGTTTTCAAAGTCGTAATTTAGTCAACTCCTTTTTATCACCTCATCAACTTGGTGTTGCAACTAAACTAGGTTGCGAAGCTGCAATTCATGCCGCTCGTACTTTTGTAACTGATGTCCAAAATCATGGCAAAGTTTTTCTTAAATTAGATTTCATAAATGCCTTTAACTCAGTCGAACGTGATTGTATACTTAAAGCAGTGCAACAACATACCCCGCTTCTGTTCCCATATCAATGTTATAGAAATCCTTCATCTTTATTTTTCGGTAATCATTTCATCTCTTCTTCCGTTGGAGCTCAACAAGGTGATCCTTGCGGTCCCATGATTTTTAGTCTTGCAATTCAACCAATGATTTTATCTTTAAAATCTCAACTTGATATGTGGTATCTGGATGATGGGTCTTTAGCTGATTATCCTGATACAGTTTTGTCTGACCTTTTAAAAATTATCACTTTATCTAAAGATATTAGTCTGCAATTAAACTTTAACAAGTGTGAGCTCTTCTTCTGCTCCGCAGTCCCAGATTTTAAAATCTTAGATAAATTTCAAATCTTAGTTCCTGGCATTAAACTATGCTATCGCGAGAATTTTTCCCTTCTAGGTGCACCAATTTTCGACCAAGGCTTTAATTCTTTTGTGGGAAAAACATTTTCCATGATTGAAAATCTATTACAAAAAGCTGAACTACTTAGCAGTCACGTTGCCTATACTTRAATTAAGAACTGTCTTTTCYTTCCAAAATTTAATTTTTTATTYAGATCSACTCCTTTTTGGAAATTTTCTGATTTTCTAAATTCCATTGATTCTTCTTTAAAGTCTTCATTAGAAATTATTCTTAATTTGCGTTTAAATGATGTTCAATGGTGTCAGGCTACCTTACCTATTAAATTTGGTGGTTTGGGAATCCGTCGAATTTCCGATATTTGCTTACCTGCATTCCTATCCTTAATTTATGGTGTTAATAAGCTTGTTTCTTTATTACTGAACTCGAGGGAATCTGAGCTTATTATTTACCATTATAATGATGCATTGGCAGCTTGGAACTCAAAGAATGAAAACAAAACACCAAATTTTCCAGAATATCAGAAGAATTGGGATAATATTAACATTAAACGCATTATTACGAATGAGTTAATCTTCACAACTCCTCGAGACTTGGCTCGATTTAAAGCTTTGCAATGCAGAGAATCTGGTTCCTGGTTACACTCAATCCCTTCTCCTAACATTGGCACCTTCTTGGATAATACTTCTTTTCAAGTTTGTATTGGTTTGAGATTGGGTTGTAATCTTTGTACACCTCATACGTGCAAGTGTAACGCTGAAGTCCAAGAAAACGGTGTTCATGGACTTAGTTGTCCGAAAAGCATTGGTAGATTTTCAAGACACACGGAAATTAATTCAATAATTCACGTACATTAACATCTATACATATAAATTCAACTTTGGAGCCGAAGGGCCTGTCCCGCGATGTTACCGTTGTAGATACCCTTGCCGACAGTTATTTATCAAAAACTTGTGAAACCTCAGTATCTGTCATTTCTTCGAATTATATTTTTAAAGGTTTAGCTTTTGAAACTTTAGGCCCTTGGTCTAAGGAAGCTTTTGATTTCCTCAATATAATTGGTAAAAAGCTGATATCTGTTTCTGGCGAAAAAAAAAAGCTAAACAATACCTGTTTGAGAAGATTTCCCTTGCAATTCAACGTGGAAATGCTGCTAGCATTCGGGGCACCTTCTTAGAGTCCGCCTTATTAGCCGAAATTTTTGTTTTGTAATTTTTACTTATACATGTCTATTTTATTTATTAAATTAAGTGATGAATTATAAAGTTCTATATAAAAAAAAATAAAAAAAATCGAAACATTTTATTTTTATAACAGGTACCTTATTATTCATTAATTAGTTTTTTAAAAAATAAATAGTTTAAGCAAAAAACGTTTGGTCCATACCATTACTCAATAAGTATTAGACCCATTTCCTTCAAATAAAGACCATTTTAAAGGAATCGCCTTGCTCTTTAGAATGCTATGCAATTTGAAATTGAAGATTGGCAAACTTTTCTTCGAACAGTGTTCGAAGAAGTTCGAAGTAAATCGAAGTAATCTAAGAAAAACCCTACGAGTAATTTTTTTTTCTTTGTCACCATCGTGTAGAGCATCTTTCTATTAGTATGATTCCAAATTTTTTAAATCATATACCGAGTAGTTTTTAAGATATGATTTTTTTAAGTTAAGGTTAACTATTCAGGTATTACGCCATATACCTAGGAGAAATGCATATTAATCTTATTTAAAATTGCATTTTTATAAAAGTATTTGTTTTAAGACGCTTCTTTTGCTAAAAAAAAGAGTCTTAAAACAAGTACTTTTATAAAAATGCAATTTTAAGTAAGATTAACATGCATTTCTCCTATATGGAGTAATGCTTGATTAGCAAGCGTTAACTTTAAGAAATCGTATCTTGAAAACTACTCGGTATATTCTATAAAAAATTTGGATTACAACCAATAAATAGATGCTCTAGGCGAAGATGAAAAAAATTATTTGTAGGATTTTTCTTAGATTTTTCCGATTTACCTTGAACTTCTTCGAACACTGTTCGAAGAAAAATTTGCAAATATTAAATTTCAAATTGCATATCATCCTAAAGGGCAAGGCCATCCCTTTAGAATGGTCTTCATTTGACGGAAATCGGCCTAATAGTTATTGAATAATGATTTTTTAAAGTTAAAGTATTTAAAATTTATTTAAATTAGAAAAAAATTATTTAGTTCAAAGTGTGTGGACTTTTTGAATTTTTTTAGTGCATTTGATTTGTCTCACTGAGACGAACAAAATGATATAAAATTTGTCAAGTTGTCACGACATGACTTTTTTGTCGCCCTGTGTTATTGTACCTTTTTAAATTTTGGTCCATTAAAAACAAAAAAAGTTGCGTGATTCTGTTTTTAAACACTTTATTCTTATTTTTATCACATTTACAAATCGTGAACATGTTCTTTGATGAAATCAACAAAATTGCTAACTTTGGTGTAAACTGACGGTGCCTCGGGATAGCTACATGGTACGAATCCCCAGGAGACAATACCCACGATGGTACCATTCTGGGCCAATGGGCCTCCACTGTCACCCAAACAGGCACTTTCACCCTTAGATAATGGCGCAGTGCAAACATTTGAAACTTCAGATAGGGGATCTTCCTGATTTTCGTCAAGAAGAGCATCTACTGCTTTTTTGCAATCTGTTAAAAAAATTACAACTGATTAATGAATTAACTAATCCATTTTTAGGTCATACCGTCATAAGACAAGATCGGAACTGTAGCAGTTTGTAAATGGTTGGGCAAACTCGGTATAATAGTAGTAGAGGTGGACCCCCAACCTGTCAAAACTGAGTCTCCTGTAGGTTCAGAGCCTGCTTCAGGCAACACAACTGGTTGTACCAAATCTCCGAACTCTAGTGGTGTTGCTAATTTGAGTAAAGCAATGTCATTGGGTCCTACTCCTCCATTGAAGTCAGGATGGACGATCTTCTCCACGACTTGGATTTCCTGTCTTTCGTTGTTTTGCTCATTTAGTTCTGTTATTCCAGCTACTATTCGATGTTCTCCTTGTGATGGTACTTCAGTGACGCAATGACCAGCAGTGAGGATGAATGTGGGTGAGAGGATGGAGCCTCCACAGACGTGTTCGTGGAGGCCAAGGATTCCCCATTGGTAGGAGATTTGGTAAGGGAATTGGCCTTTGGCGGCGTCATCACCGTTAATTATACGAGGGTTCGGGCGGTGAAAGGTGCGGAGGCCAATTTTAGTACCCGATTTTGCTAATTTAAGAAAATAAAAAATTGATGTTTCTTTGATCGTTTATGGCACTTACCCGAAGCAAAGGCAATCGCAATTGTTAAAAATGTGAATAGTTTCATTTTGGTGAGGAATAATGAGTTGTCTGGATGAGTTGTGGAAGTTATTTATATTGACTTTGGCGGTGACGAAATATTAATTTATCTTAATTCTGGTGAACTATAATCGATGATTTTGACGACAGGTGTGAAATATTATAATTTTAAGTATTGTTTAAAATTTGGTACTTGGAAAGAGATAAAACAATACTTTTGTAAAAGATTGTAAAAGATTGTAAAAACTTTCGTTTTGCGGTACGTCATGTCTAATATTTTCAATTAAAATATTTATTATAAAATGTTGTAATTAACTTCTTGTTTAATTTCACCTTTTAAAACAAATGGTTTCTTATTTTTACTTTAATTGATTTTAGCGTTAAAATAAAATAAGACTCTTAACCTACAGCGTGCGCCAAAACTCGTACCCTAGAGAAAAAATTCAAATAAGATAAGATACTAGGAACATTGAAAAATGTTTGAAAAATTCTATCTGGCAAAAAATTTTGACATTTATTTTTTGATATTTGACATTTTTTTTATGTCTATTTAATAATACTGATGATCTTGTAGATGATTTTTCACAACTATTTAGTAAAGGTACACAAATTATGCCGATAAAAGCCACAAATAACATTAGAGAGAGTTACAATTTAGGATACAGCTTCCTTGTTTCCTCTTCTAGCAAAAAACTTGGAAATTTTTTCCAACAGAAATAAATAAAGTCAAAGTGCGAAATGTAAACTCTCATGACTTTTTTTACATTTTTCCATGTTCCTGGTATCTTATCTTAAATGGCATTTTTCTCTGGGGCGCGAGTTCTGGGGTACCTTGAATGTAAATATTTTCAATTTTTTTGAATATTTTTGAGAACATTTCTTTAAAAAAATAGTTATTTGAAGTTATTGGTGACTTAATAAAATCAAAATTACACAATGACTAGAACAGTAGGTGGTATTTGTAGCAGGATTAACTATTTATTTATCCTAACAGAAAATAAGATCAGTGAAGGTTACTATCAGAGCAAAAGTTCGAATTTTTCCGTAGAAGAATGTAGAAAACATTGATATCTAAAAACAAAATCTATTTCAAAAAGCATTAAAGGAGTGAAAAGAATAAAATTTTTTATATACAAAGTGAACAGAAAGTTTGCAACCAAACGTTTTTTGCATAGACTATTTATTAAAAAAAACTACATGAAATTAAAATTTTTCGATTTTTGATGATTTTGGCAAATTTTGTTATTTTTAAAAATAGCAACCCACTATAAAATTATTTTTTTACAAACGCAATAATCTAAAGATTACGACTTACTATTTACATACTTTTTATACTTAGAAGTTGCCATTGTCAAATTTCATTCTCAAAAATTCAAAAATTAAGTAATTATTATTTTTTAAATATTTTTTTAAAACCACTTGCCTCCATTTTTTGGTTTACTTAATAGATTGGTGCATAATTCGCTGCCATATTTTTGCGCGTTTTTTGTTAGTTAAAGGAACTTTTTGTATTCTTGTTTACATAAAAATATTCTTTATAATCCAGTAATCAAAATATGCGTATAGATGGTCATACTCATATTCCTTATATTCTACTGTACCATTACCAAAAAAAAGGTAGTAGGTCAGTTATTTCGCGATTTAAAGAAACTTTTTGAAAAGGAACAATTAGCGATCATTGATTTTTTTTTAATTTTCAGGCTCATTATTACTTATGGGACACCCTTTATGTGTTCAATGTATTTTAATGTTTTGCCTTTTTATAATAAATATACAGGTTGCGCCAAAACTCGCGCCCCAGAGAAAAATGCCATATAAGATAGGGTACCAGGAACATGGAAAAAACGTTAAAAAAAAAGTATCTATAAAGATTTCGAAGTTATGAGGGTTTAATGTTTGCACTTTGACTCTATTTGTTTTTGTTGCAAAAATAATTTTCCAAGTTTTTTTTTTTTTTTTGCTATAGACTATTAAAAGAGGAAACAAAAAAGCTGTATCCTAAATTGTAACTCTATTGAATGTTATTTGTGGCTTTTATTGGCAAAATGTTTGTACCTTTACTAAATAATTGTATAAAAACATATACAAAATTATCAGTATCATTAAATAGACATAAAAAATGTGAAATGTCAAAAAATAAATGTCAAATTTTTTTGACAGATAGAATTTTTTAAACATTTTCTTCATGTTCCTGGTATCTAGCCTTACTTAAAAATTATCTGGGGCGCGAGTTCTGGCGCACCCTGTATAATGTTAAAAAAACCTAATTTAATAAAAGCGAATCTATTTTTGAGATATCTATTATTTACATCCAAAAGTAGATTCGGACTTGAATCTCTGACTAATAATAAAATGATTCTAGAAAATTTATATTAAACACCTGATACATTTAACTTTCCACTCCACTTGTACTCACAGCTCCGTTAATTTATTTTATCATTGTGAGAAAATAAAGATTAAACTACAATATTAGATTATAGATTAGCACAAATTGGGTGTGGTGTGTTTAGCGATTGACTAAATGATATACTTTATTTCTTTTGTTTGAGCATAAAAAATCAAAAATAAATGAGAGTGATTTCATTGAAATTTCAATGTTTTTGTTCCGTTTTACGGATTCACAACTATACTCGTTTTCATATTAACGAACATCGAAGTAGTAGTCAAAAAGGATCATTTTAAGGTGGTAACCATGCAAAAATTCAAATAATCCTAACCCCAATCTTCTCTAAAAATTACTTTTTCAAATAAATGTTTACTCCAGGTAGCAAAATATAGTTCAAATTAACAACGTAATTAACATAAAAGGATAGCAAACATAAAAATTATTGTGATTAAAGTTGTTCTAGATGCCATTAATGACACTTTTTATGGAATCGACCTTAAATTAAAGATGCATTTAGACTTCTACAACCTACTTGATGCACTTTAATATGAAAAAGAGTATAAAGAGGGTATAGAAAGATTTATCGTGTTTACAACCTTTTATGATATTGATTCTTTAATAAGTTTATGCCCGAACATAACACTGTAACAAGCACAAGTATTCGAAAACGGGCCAAGCTCAGCATTGAGGAAAAATATTTACCTCCCTTTATTGGGGTCTAGAAATGATGGTTTGCGATTAGACAAAAATTAGTGAAAGGTAGATACCGGATTAAGTTGTAAACACGGTATATCTTTCTGGCAACTCTAAATCTCCATTAAAATTCTGAGCAAAAACTCAATTTTTTCGTTTTATGGCAAAAATAAATCACAAAAATGAGTCTACAAAACGTATTTCCAAAAATTAAGTACTTTATGAGTTACTAAACATGCAAAAATAAGATTTTTTTGAAAAGCTGCTCATCAATTATCAGTAAATTAAAATACAAATTTTTGTTAATGCCGTCACACAACAATACATGAGTTTGCCATTAATTCTCCAGTAATTATCAAAAAATCGTTACAAGGAGAATTGCAACACAAACTTTTGATCTCGCCGTTAAACCGACAAGATTAAAAAACCTTTCTGCGTATAAAAACTCTCAAAACGGTACTACAATCGTCAAAATCAAAAATGAAGCAAACAGCGTTGTTAATTCTTGTAAGTATTCATTAATTACAAATTTGATTTTTTCCAAAATAAATTCTAGTTTGTAACTTTTTGTCACGCCATCCCCCTTGTCGATTACCGCGCCTCCCTCATGCGCCAACCCACCAAAAACTGTACTTCAGCCGGCCTCCTTTGCGAAACTTGCACCGATTTAGTGGCCTGTATCGAAAACAATGACCATACCTTCACCAAAGACTTCGTCCAGACCTGTCCTGCAGGCCAAAAATGTCTCAAAGGGGAATGCACGAATGACTATGACCCTTTTTGTGACGGCGTCGCTGATTTGGCCTTTCCTTGTAAAAAAGTGGGTATTTTCCCCGACCCCTTCTACTGTAATAAGTACGTTATGTGTGTCGATTTGGGGCAAAATAGGCTTCAGGCATATTTAAGTCGGTGTGAGGAAGGTTTGGGTTATAATATTGCAACAGGGGTTTGTGATGTGAAATTATCGGGCAATGGGTGTAAAACGGATGAACTGCCTGTACCATTGTGTGGAAAAGCGGGAGATAGTGGAGCTTTGAAGGGGAAACCTATGGAATATTACACTTGCGAGGAGTATAACAATGTGAAGAGGGTGTTGTATCCTGTGATTGATGTGTGTCCAAATGCTGAAACGTATGAAGATTACAAGTGTGTTAGTAATTAAATACTTAAAACATTAATGATAATTTAATAAATATTTAATGCATTGAAGGACTGTTTCGCTTACCTAGAATACCTAGGTTGAGTTTTTTTACAAAATAATCCCTTTTCAAAATTTTATTCTAGCTTCTTGTTATTTACATAAAAATCTGGTGTGAACATCACACGACTTTCCTTATCCTATTTATTTGGAAAACATTTTTACGACAATAATTTAGTGTTGGAAATCCGAGTAGCAAACCTAACGTTTGCGTTAGTGCCACCTGCCGGAACACGCGAAATAGATCATAGTTGTCACGGGTTCAAGTCCGGGGTGCAATTTTGATTAGTTCGGTATCTATTATTATTTTTATTTTATCACATTTTACTGTTTAAAAAAAATAAGGTATATTTCATGATTCTAAATAACTTTTATCCTCATAAATTTATTGTATCTTCAACCATATACATAATTTTGCGGCCGCTTTTTGGTCTTTGCGGCCGAACAGTTCGATCGATTTTTACCAATTGTTTCATGCTGCGTCCCCTACGGACAAGTAACTTACATACCAAATTTCAAGTTTCTAGGTCTTATCGTTTTTTGGTGTCTTGAAGCTATAACTTAAGTATGTATGTATGTACTATCAGCGTAGAAAAGATTGTCCTCCTAATAAACCGCGCGGACCCTTAGAGGCAGAACCCATAAACCACAACAATAAATCTTTTCTATTGTAAACGTCATTTCTTATTCAACAGCATATTTAGTTTGAAGTGAAGCATAGTTTTACGTTCAATTGAGTAAGTAAGAAATTATTCAAAAAATTTACAACTTTATACTGTAACTAAAAATTAATTAAAAATAATTATAATTGATGATTATTTAGCTATTTATTTACCAAGATAAATGCTGTTTTAAATGT